GTGTGGGTGTGGGTGTGGGTGTGGGTGTGGGTGTGGGTGTGGGTGTGAGTGTGAGTGTAAAAGTAGTGGAGACACTCACATACGCTACTGTTTAATCGAAATTACTACAAATCATTGCTTACATCTAATCCAGAGTTCATTAGAATACAACTCATATATAATTAAGCCGTCTGATGAAACCCTTAAGGAAGGTCGAAATCGCGATCAGGCCGTGCTTTCTTGACTCACCTACATCCATCACAATGTACGAAGATGAGGATGTTCTATCTTTCAACAATCCTACTCACACTCACATTTATTCGTAAGATGATAAAATAAGAACAATATAGGTCGAGGAAAAATGGCATATTCATATAAGGAGAAATAATTGTTTTTTATGACCTTTTCTGGATTTAATCTCAAGTATTTTTATGAAGATTTTCATTACGTAGACAAGATGGCAATCATAACAGAGACATTTGTTTTATATAGTGTATCGATAAAACTCATAATAACATTCAACAGCGTAGAGTACAACGAAATGGTGAAGAATTTTTAAGTAAAGACTCGTACGACTCAGGTTTGTCATGTATGTATAACACAATAAAAGAGTCAAAAAAATCTATACCTGTTGAGAAGATGTGTTGCACGGAATATTAAACATTTTTAACTTCATTTTTTAGATTCTTTTTTTGTCTAACTTTCATCAGTGACATCGTATTACTCTGGCTTATAGTGTAATAAAACATGTCATTCGTTTGGATTATCTTTCTATGTTTTATCTTAACATTGAAAGCAACTGAGCTCAATCAAAACCATCCAAACTTCATTAAAAGTGTAAACCAAAGTAAGTAAAGTATAGAGTGATCTGATGAGTGGTTTTTGATATTTCATAATCAATTCAATCTATTGTGTTGCTTTTACTTTTTTCTCATTCAAATAGTTCGACGAAATCATAGGCTTCCACCAATATGTCTATCTAAGAAGCTTAATGCGGCAGTATTGCAACATTCGAAATGGATGAGTAAGAACAAAAAACTAATTCATGGCAGTGCTAGTGACTTAAAAGTACGTAGAAATATCTTCATGAATAGACATAACTTCCATTTTCTACGGATGATAAAAATTTCATAACAATCGAATTATTTCTTTGTATAAAAAGAATCGTCTACTCAAGAATGAATATCCTTTGAATGGTGCAGCTGCTGAAAATATTGCCTTGAATTCTGGCCGATCTGCACAATATACTGTCAATCAATGGATGAAATCGCCTAAGCACCGTGCCAGCATTCTCAATCCTAAGTATAATCAGGTATTTTGACTGATTTACATGATCGTTTAAGATTTAAACTTCTGTATTATTTATCTTGTAGGTTGGCATTGGTGCTAGTCAAAAAAATCAAAAGATTTGGTGGACAATGTTGATGGCAAGAGGCTCTGATAAATGTGTACTCCCAAAAAAATCTTAACTTTCAAATACAAATTCCAAAAATTGATTCAAACTTCGTTCGCATATCTATGAATATAATTTTTGATGTTGCATGTCTAATAGAATAATGCTCACTGTGGATTTTGTTTTAATTCTTAAGGATGAGAGTGTGGATGAGTGTTACTTTGTCATCCACACCCGCACCCACACCCACATCTATCGAACATGCCTTAAACATTATGCCAAGGAATGAAAAAAAACTGTAGACTTAATATTGCTGAAAGTAAGACCCAAGAAACTTTTTGTTCTTTGTTAAAACAAGCTAAGTGTTTCGTTCAAGATCATTAAGTAGTTTTACTGAAAATAGCTTTCAAAAAGCACAAAAATATGAAGAAACTTTTTCATAATTTGAATATAAAAAAATATTGTTGAACAAAAAAAGAATTATTTTGCATTCATAAAGGTGCAAATGGCTATTTCAATTATTGATAGCAATTGAAAAATTTAACTTTCTCAGAAAATGAGATGCTGAGGTACTATATACTTTACATATGATAAAAATTTATTTTCATATTCAAATAAACAATTTATGAAATGATTTCTTTATCAAACAATGTGCCATTTATTATTTTTTGTATACCGGAAGAATTATTTAAGACAACGCGGATGATTTTGTTGTAGTAAATAGTGTATATATAAATGGTGGTAGAATTCATCCTATTCTATTTGATAAAAAAAAAGAAGTTGAGTAAATATGACAATAATCTTGCAACAGTATACATGTTATGCATCACTAGACTGATGTTCATTACAAGTCACATTGATGAAAATCTTTGAAGAAAAATATTATCAATAGTAACGATATAAGCCGCACACAATTTCTTTTCGTTTAAATCCAGAAACAAAAAGCCATTATTAAGAATAGTGATATGGCTTCTTTTGATTTCAAATCGTTCCGCGAAAAGAAGCTATATCGATGATCTATAGTTAGACGTTTAAAATGCAAACATAAGGAGAAAGAAAGTACATTGACAACGAAACAAACAAACGTTAATGCAGTTTTTCTATTCTTGCCATTCTATCTTGAGGGTGTGGGTGTGGGTGAAGAAGAGTAGTCACACCTACACTCTCAAGAAATTACTCATCTTTCTCCAATCATAATTGAGAAATTGATATGAATAGTTTTATTTCATATTCGGCAAAAAGCGTTTTTTTATTTTCAACTTTCAAAACACAAAAAAACAAGAGAATGACAAATCATTAAAAAAGAAAAACAATCAACATAAACTATGTTGTAACGCAAAAAATTTCAAGCGAAACAACATGCTACACAACAAGCACATACAACAAATAAAGAAGAAATAAGCCTAAATATTTGCTAGTTAATCAAGTATCACTGACGCTTTTATGAAAACAAAAAAAGATCAGTTTTAACGACGAAATTGCACAAGATAACGTAAAGCTACTTGTGATTCATCATATACAATATATTCATTATAATTAAGACCATAAAAACCAACTTTAACATCTGTATTATCGATCATATTACCAAGTGGCATACGAACACCATAATTTCGTGTAACTATATATCGTGGATCAGGTATAAGTCGACCAGTACCTTTACGACTTTGAAATTGATTTAAATCAAGTTGTTTTGTACCACCATCATCATTATTTAAACCCATTTCTTTAATTTTACCTAAAGCAACTTCACATAATATCATAAAACAACGTTCACCACCACCATCATTCTGTTTTACACCTGAACAATAACCAAGACTTTTTGCAAATGTATCTGCTGTATAAATTCCCTATTATACAAAACAAAATTTAATAGAATACAAATCTAAAATTTTTTTGACATACTTTTCCAAATAAACTTCCACTTGCCATAGCAGCTAATGGTCCAACAAGAAGTCCTCTCGTAAGTATACTAATTAAATTACGAATATTAGTACCATGCCATAATAAATAATGATTATCAAGATTCGATTTATATAAACGTTCATCCTCGTTTGGACGTGCAATTTTAAATATTTGTTCAACTTGTATACTTGATGCACTTGCCCATATATAACGTAAAATTAATTGTGAATCAATATCATCTTTATTCATAGCTTCAAATTGACAATTTATTGATTTATATAAATAATCTAATGGTGAAATTGATTTTAAATTAGCTTGTGCACCTAAAAGTATTTTATAGGATAATTCAAGTTCAAGTAAATCATCAAGTATTTTTTCTTGTTGTTTAAGTTGACCTTCATTATCAATAATAGGTAATTTTTCATCCGCATAACCTCATAATGGTATTATTGTATAATATTCATTTGTATATTTATAAATCGAATCTAAAATAGTTTTAAATTGATTTTGTTGTTCACTTGTTTTCCTCGTTGTATTGCTGAAGTTAATTCTTGCTTTTTCTCAATATTATTTTTTAATTCAATTAATAAATCACGTGCTTTTTGTAATGTGTCACGTTTTAATTGTGATACAGGCATCCATTCAATATCTAATTGTGTTTTATCAATATTTAAACGTATAGCTTGACGATTAATTAATGTCTTAAGAAAATCTTTAAATATGGATGAATGAAGTTTGGATGATACATGTTCAGTTTGTAAACGTTCAAAATCAATGGGTACATTTGAATATTTATGTATTTCACGTTCATTTAATTTAATTAATGTATATTTTTTTGGTTTAATTTCAAATTGATTTGTATCTTTCCATGCATTACCAGTTTTTTCACGAAATACTTTTACAAATTCTTTTCGACATTCATCTAATGTTGAATATGGTGTTAACTGATATTGACCTTCAGCCTCACCAATACGTCCCCAACGTGTAAAAAGAAAATATAAATTATTTTTACTTTTATGTTTTATTATTTGCATACGATAAAAATTATATAAACCAACAATACCATAATTAACATCAGTTTTTGTTAAATGTACATCATATGGTTCGTTTTTGTCTGTTTCGATTAAAACTTCACCTGTAATACTCATACCAGATAAATGATCAACTTGATAGGTAGTATTTTGTGTATGTGATGGATGTTTAGAAATATATTTATCAATTAATTGTTGAGCATTAAAATAAAAATCTTGAGGGTGTGTGTAATAGTTAGAATCATGCCTCATCTATCACCACCCACACCCTCAAGATGCTAATATGCGCTATAGTGCATATTAGCAAATGTAGTTTTCATTATTTACCATAAATTACAGTTGCCTAAATTGGTCTCTAAAAAAGATCCCTAAAGTAATCCCTATTAGGTCACCAAAATATACGGTAGCGTTTCACGTATCCTCAAATAGGGATTGGATGTAGAGATTGATTTAGGGGATTACAGTTTATGGCAAATGATAACTTTACCGTCACAAGCAGAGCACTTCTATCCGCACCGCCATTTATTCGCTTGGCTAGCAAAGTTTTTGTTTTATTTTTATCGATTGTGTTAACTAGAAAGATCAATAATCATAAGGTTTATTTATCAAATATGAATCATGATTTATAAAGTAATGGCATTATGTTTTAAACAATATTTCAAATCTCGTTTTTCTGGTCGATGACTTTCATTTTCTTATTCGTCGACGAAGATAATTCCTCCTTTTGATCATTTGAATTTTGACGCCGTTTTTTAGCAGGTGTTTTCTGCAATTCACTAACCAATGGTTGTCCACAACGGCAATATCCTCGATTAAATGCAGACACGCAAACCTTTTCATAGGCACCAGAAAAACGTCGAAAAAGTGGAATTTTCGTTGGCGCACGAAGAAGTGCCTGGCATGCTTGTTGAAGCTTCGATTGGTCTTTATCCTTTTTAACAGAAAATCATAAAAAATAAATTCGATCAAAGTCACTTCGATTCTATTTTACCTTCACATATTTATTATACAGTTTTATACTTGCTTTAGCATCATCTCGAGCGATATGACTTCCCGTGGCATTGAGATCAATTTTTAACAGCACCTCTGCTTCATGAGCTAGAGAAAAGTACCTATGAAGAGAAAACTCAGTTTATATAGTGAAATTCTTTCAAGAGTATTTGATTGCTCACTTATTACTGCCATATTTAGGATCAAACGTCCTAAATTCGTCACCCAGATCAATCAGAGTACTATAATGTACACCTTCTTGAAGTTTCATCCAATTAACATCACTCATAATCGATTGGCCAACAATCAACGTTGTTGGTGTGAAAAATGAATGTACCTACAAAACATGAACGTTAACTAACTTCGTCTCATTGCTCCAAGATTTTCTAAGAATCAGTTGAATATCTTCGATTTTCATTTATCGCTCAACACTTGGGAATTAATATGCTCTGTCCAAAATCTCAATATTTTGTGGAACATTATCAGTAGAATATATGTATATATACTTTCTCAAAACAATATACTAACCATATGAAGAACCATAAGAATTTAAATGGATAAAAGACACAAGAACACAACTATTCAACTGATATTAATTACCTTTTTTATTACTTCATCGAAAGATGGTGCATGATGAAGATCTGTTTTTCGTACACCAGTGAAAGAAAACAGATCGCTGACAACAGGTTTATCTGGTTTGATTAATGAATCGAAAAGGATCTCACATCGATCATTGACAATGGCCACACTACATGGTGCTCGATCCAAATGAGAAAATCCTGTAGCTACACACTCAACATCGATTGACAATACTTGAATCGATTGATTTGAATTGAATACATTATCTTGTGACTTCTCTGAATTTTGAACTGGTTGAATAACGTCGTTCAGGTCTTCTGCAACTTGCTGATCCTTTTCTAAAGCATCGAGTTTGTTCGTTTTTACTTCAACACTGCTATTTTCAAGTGTTGAATCCATAACAGCAGATATTTTATCCTGCGTGTAGCTTTACAATGCGCGATACTAGTCTTGTTTTATCACTAAATTATCTGAGTAAATAAATCTTTTTCGCCGTGGTCTCACAAACTAAAAAAAAATTGAGAGATTACATGACAGTAGGTAATATTAAGGGTTTAAGTGCAACTAATTCGTTGCTCAATTAAACTGCAAGTGAAGGTAAATAGGCTTCTATAGGATGACTATGTGTACAACTCAGAACTAAGCATACTCTCAAGTTCTACACTTTCGAGTAACTGTCATCATTCACCCATCGAAGATATAATTGAGAGACATGTGTAATATTCTCTTACAGTTAGTATCAAGTTTTTATCATCCTCTTATTCGTTCTCACCAAACACATCTATGACTAAAGCCAACAAGAGACAATGATAAAAAAAGACGAAAGATGAAAATGTTGATAGTATTCTTTTTCTATCGTCACTGTCCCCATGCCTATGAGTGTGCGAGTGTGGAATGAGTGCTAGATGAATACAGTATCAACACCCATACCCTCAATAACACAAAATCTTACTGTTTGATTTATCATATGCGTCAACTTTGCTGAATATTTCAATTATAAATTTATATGATCTATGTATAACTAATAAAATAACATCTTTTCCTTTTTCAGATGATTTAAATGTAGAACATACTAGAATAAAATTGTTTCAATTGAATGATTTGTAAAAACTCTAATAGCTTGCGAATTTCGGATGGTATTATTTAAGTATCACTTTATGTTCTTTTCGCGGAATAATTTATTGCGTTTGTTTTTCTTTTTTTCCAATCCCAGCTACCCATTTTATTTTGAAAGAATGTTTACACATTTAAAAGAAGATATTCAAGGTCCACAACACACAAGAAATGTTATTGCAAAGAAAGAGAAAAAGAATTCGTATGAAATCATAAAGATTTAAGTGCTGTGCAATTAAACATTGTTGATACGAAACTGTATTATTCTTAATGGAAGACAAATATGTCTTTGAAAAACAAAAAAATCTGATAAAATAGAAAGAATTATGTTGTTTGGCTAAATGTATTTTGTCGATAGTCAAATTGCGGAAATTTTTTGATAGACAGAATATTTCGTCGTGGGTATGAATGTTTCTTCTCATTCTTTACGAGCCCATACACCCAGATTCACATCCACACCTTCACCCAGAACCTTTTGATAATTCATATATCATTTCGAAATGCTCAACAAATAATTGGACTAAACAACTATAAATTTAGACGAATCATAAAAATCTAATATTGTTAATATCCTGTTATGTATCATTAAAATTATCCGAATAGAATGAGAATGAAATTTATTCAAGTATGAGTATTAATTTTGAAAAAAGGATACACATCTATTTGTAGAGCTTGATAAACTCATGTAATAGTATGTTTCTTTTTTTTCTTGTCGAACTTTACAATGAGAAAATATGATTATTTTCAGTAATGGAATTATTTATACTCATTTAGAATAATTTTCTAAGCATTTTTTAAGAATGTTACTATGTATCGATATTTAATAATTAAATATTCATATTCAACAATAATTAATGTCATATAAAACTCTAATGGATGTTGAGATCATCATATCTTTTTCTAATTTACTCGAACAATAATATCACAATGAATAACAAAAAATATGCAAACATAAATGTATAAATTACAGTTAAACATAGGAAACATAAATGAGAATTTTATTAACATTCTGCCTTTGTCTAACGAAATCTTTGTATTTATTTGCACCAAATTATAAACATTATCGATATATTCTATTCTATTATTATTCGAATCTTATCATGTTTTACATCTATTATTTTGAATTTTTATATTCAATCCTTCGCAAATAAATCGACTGTTTATTTTTGATAAAATATCTATAAAAATCGTGCTTTGAATTGATATTATAATGTGAATAAATTCAATGTTAAATGAATATTATAAATTTTCATCGATAGAGACGTCAATAATTTCTCTATTTTTAAGAAAAAAATTCTTCTCTTTTTCGTCTTTAAAAAATTTCGATTGAGTCAATTTTAATAACTATCAATTCTCAATGAAGCGATCCGATAGATAAATTTATTTCAGAAAGTAAAATATAATTGATCGTTTATTTTACAAAAAAATAATTCGTTCCTTTAGATTGATTTATTTCAATAGAATGAATTTTATTTATTCCACACGACTTTGAATAATTTGTTCGAGTTGTGCACTTGACACATGTTCTTCCGGCCCCCAATGAACTACACCTGGAAAATTATTTGGATCAACACGTCCTGAATTGGCTTCGATTTGGTAATTACCATTTGCCCCAATATTCGATAAAGGAGTACCTGCTGGAGGAACAATTCCTACACCAGGAACTTAATTAAAAAAAAGATATTTTTTATTATTATTTTAAAAATCAAAAATAAATCTATGAATTGTTACCTGAATCATATCCACCTGCATAACCACTGAAAACAGCATTATCGTCGTTTTCCATGTGAGTTGTTTATTAATATTGATATATAACTATGAAGATAAAAATGATCAAATGTATATATAATTTTTATTCGTTTGTGTATATTTATATGAGATATATCTTTTCTCTTTCGTTATGCTTCATTTCACCAAAGATGAAAAATAAGAAATATTATTCAATGAAAAAAAGAACACGTGAAGCTTTTTGGGCGTAGTCTCTAATAATTCTATCATTTAATAGACGCAAAAGTTTCTTTTACAACAAGGTGAGATATATAGAAATGAGTCATATAAATTCAAAGAAATAATTTATCAAACACAGAATAGAATAATTCAAAAAGTTTATCTGTCTTCACTTTATTTCTTTTCAATATAAATTCATTAAATAATCTATTTACTTTAACGAAATACGATAGATGTTATTTAAAGAGATTTTTTGAAACGAACAAAATTAATTGTGACTTCTGAATATTATTCTGACTATTCCTGATAAGATTTAACCTCTTGATTACGAGTTTTTTTATAAGATGAATTTTCTTTTTTTTCATTTCAAAACAACACATTGATAATCGCCAAATAGAATAGTTTTTTTTATGTTTCACTTTGAATAGTAATACAACAAACGCTTTGATATAATTAAAAGTAAGAAAATCCTACCATCATTTGAATATTAAAATGAGCAACAAACAAACTTTGAGGGCAAATATTAAGAAAAAAAAAGCGTTTGATTTAAGATAGTTACGACATTATTAATTATTTTGATCAAAACAAATCAATTACTTTCGTAAGACATTTCATAAAACGAATCACTTTAGGAGAAATCGTAAGACTATATTCTTTGAGTTGAAGAATAGAAGAAAAAAAATACTTCATTTCTGTGTTGTGAACATTATATTTATTTAATTTAATCACACGATTTATTTGGAAGAAAAGAAAAAAAACTTCTGAACTAATTTTTCAAAATGGCAGTAAATCTTGTTAAATACGAAATAGTTATTATTTGTTTTGACTAGAACCATTTACAGTATATATGACAGAAGGATATAAAATCTTCATTCTCGGAAAATCTATACAACACAAATAAAACAACAGAAACAAAAAAAACATTTCAACAAGATGAGTTTGTTGCTAGTCAGAATATTTGTTTTAATTTTACTAAAACTATGATTCATCGATTAGATGTATGTGAGTGCTACTTTTGTAATGAGTTGAAAAAGAATATTTACTCATTTTTATATTCTCTAAACGTTAGCAGAAAGTAATGAGTCTTTTGCCTGATATTCACACATCAATGCTCGAATTCATAATGAGAAAAATTTGAAGGATCTAAAATATTAAAACTTTTGTCCTTGAACTCATCTTTCTCCGAAAACTTAAATAAAAATAAACTTTTAACGAAGTTTGATATTATTTGAATCCTGATTTCTACATACAAAATCTTTAATTTGTCGAAAATGCGATCCAGTTTCATTCTTAAATTGCCGTAGAATAAAAAAGATCGAAGATTTCATTTGATCTGATTTTTTTAATAGTTAATAAAAAGAAAAAAAAACAGTATTTTCCAGTACATTTAGTAGTTTTGTCAATGTTTTGTTTCTCGTGTTGCTAGAGACTCATTCTACACATCTATTCTTTTTTCTCTCTCTCTCTCTGTCGAGTATATAATGTTGAGTTTTCAGTGAGAATTTCTATCAGTGAAATGCGGAAATTAAAAAGACATTTATACGTTATAACAATATGTTTAAATATTTTTTTTCTGTCAGTTTGTATTAGAACAAATATCCCCTTTGGTATTATCTTTGAGGTAAGTTTATATATGTGCATGAACATATAAAAAGAGAGGAAATCAATAATGACCATGTAGAATTAATTCACGTTTACACGACTTATCAACAAAAATTTCTTTTTTAGGAATTTAATCGTAGAAACGTAAGATGGAAAGAAGAGATGACGTAGATCATCGTCGTGGTTTGCGTCGATTCCACATCGAGCTCAATCTGTTCGAAACGGACTTGACTGATGCATAGACGATCACCATTCAACGATGGTCAACGCGTGTCTACATTGTCCTTCTCCTTTCCGCGATGTCCATTCTACTTTTGTACAGAGGTAATGAGGTTTTGAGGTATAGACATATTAGAGGTATAGAGATGTTAGTATTATTAATATCTCTATACCTCTAATACCTGGTTCATATCTTTCAGGAGATATGTTCCAGTGCTTTCGTTACACAAGAATGGATCGATCTACTCTTCGATGATACAACGTTCATGCGCGACGGCTAGCAATCAGTTCCAGATATTACGGAAACTCTGCAAATTCTCACAAACGACTATCAATAACGATGGCGGACTAGACATTGCTGTTACTGATGCTAGCACACACACGATTATGAACATTCTTTTGAATACATGAACGCGATGGGTATTCTGATCCAGACTTATATAATGCTGAACACTCTTGTTTGTTTTTGCTTAATGTTTTGTATATCACATATAATTGCTTGCGTTTTGCACAAAAATAAAAAAATAAAAAAATACTCCCTATTCATTATGACTATGATTTAGAATCTTTCTCATTCGAGACAAAAGCGGCAACAGAAGCAGTATTATATAGACTTGAATGTTATTTTATCTGATATAAATTTTGTTATTGTGTCTTGTACTGTGTCGTGTATGTAAGTGCAGACATTGTATTCATTTGACACTCGCATTACTCTGATTAAATAACTTGTCGTCGTTTAATCGCCTTGGGCATTTTCCAAGTAGAAAAAATTAAGACAAAAAACAACCTCTTCAAATAACAAACTAATCTCGTCGACAAGAGTAGAATGAAAAGAAGATGTAAACAATTTTCTAATTTGCATAATATTAGATATGTAATATTAATATATCATTAGAAAAAGAAAAACGAGAGAAAAAGAAAACGAAGGTACTTTTGTCGGACAAATAAGTTCACTTGTAAAAGAGATTAAGAAAAAGTGCATGGAGTCGCTGTTAGTGACTGTGAATATTTTAAATGATATTCGTCAATATATACTCTATATTTATTATGTCATACTTATTGCCGGATTTATTGGTAATATTCTTAATATTATTGTTTTCACTCAGCTCAAATTGTTTCGAGCAAATCGTTGTGCTTTCTATTTGACTGTTGAATCTATAGTTGATATTGGCTATATTATCGTTCTTTCTACTAGTACGATTTTACAAACAATATATGGAAATGATCCATACGGATATATATTCATTTGGTGTAGAATGAGAACAATACTGTTTCAAACATTTACACTCACATCGTTCTTCACGATATGTTTTGCGGCTTGTGATCAGTTTTTTTCGACAAGTTACCGATTGAATATGAGACAAACGTGTACAATCAAACTGACTCGATGTTTCACATTGGGAGCTGGTTTGATTTGGTTTATTCATAGTATTATATATGGTCTTTTTCTCAATGTTAATCCGTCACTTGGATGTATCATTACGAATCCTACAATGACACTCTATTCATCATGGTTTTTCTATCCAGTTTTGTATGGTCCTTTGCCAATTCTTATTGCATCATTATCTAGCTTATTCGCTTTTAACAATGTTCGTCGTATTGTTCGTCGACAAGTACCGATTGTTCGTCGTCGACTCGATCAACAAATGACAGCTATGGTATTGATGCGTGTAGTTTTTTTCGTGATATTTACATTGCCATATGCTATTTATCGTATCTATACTATCAATATTCCGAATCCACAATCGAATGTTTTGCATTATGCAATCAGACAATTACTTCAAGCATTTTTCACTTCATGGACTGGCGTAAATTTTGCAGTACAGTTTGATTTTTATTTGATTTCTATTACATATTGTTATTTATTTATTCTATAGGTCACCTTCTATATTTTTGCCGCTTCGTCAGCACGATTTCGTCGTCAAGTGAAATATCTAATAAGAAAATATTGGCGACAATGGAAACATTGCTCTTTTTGTACTGCTCAAAATCAAGTTGGTCCTACAAATACAGCATCGGGTAATTCCGACATTGATTTGGAATGAAATGTATCATCGTTATGTCTGAGCCTTAACTTTGTTTTTTTCTTTTGATATTTAATTAATATTTAATCCTTGTTAATCCTATTTGCAATAAATATATATAACTAAAATTAAAATAATATTATAAAGTAGAAAAAAATGAAGTAACAGTTCTCGTGATAAGTTCTGCATTAGTTGATTAACATCAATTTTTTTCTTCTAAATAAAAGTATTCCATGGGTTACATAGTTTGATACCCTACAAAATTCATGGCAGCTGCTTTGACGTAGTTCGTGTCCTATTTAACACGCCATTGTAACAGGAGACTAAGATTAATCTGCGTAATCATATTTTAACATCTAATGAGTAAACGAGAAATATTTATGATATTTTCTTCATTCAACAAAATAAGAAAAATGAATATGTCAAATTCTTCATTGATGTTTGCTCAAAATCAAATCGTTTATTACGGAGCAACCACTCTTTTCATTATGGGCAACATTGGAAACGCTTGTATTATACTGATTTTTCGTCATAATCGTCGTAATTCTTGCTCAATGTATCTCATTGCTGGAGCAGTGATGAATAGTTTGTGTCTCGCTCTCAACATTCCTCAGTATCTTTACACGTCTTTTTATGGTGATTTAACTGCACGCTCACTAATCTACTGCAAGATACGGGTCTACTTAGTTAATGCATGGGGCGAAATGGCTAGACATTGCATTGCATTCGCTAGTATCGATCGATATGTAATGACGAGTGACAATGTCCGTGTTCGAGCTTTGAGTAAACCATCAATCGCATTATGGGTCATAGGTATCGGCGCAGTTGTTTGGCATATCATACCTACTTTCTCATTGATCCTATTGTCAATTGTAAACGGACGATGTAGCTCAAACGGTCTGTACCTTATCTTCTACAATGTGCTTTTTATTTGGTTGATTCCGTGTGGAGTGCTGATCAACTTCGGCTATTTGGCCTATTCAAATATCAAACGATCACATACACGTGTGCGACCAATTGTAAGTCAGCGTAATGTAGTTGTTGTTCGTCGACAGGATCGAGATTTATTTATTATGGTATTGACTGAAGCAATTGCCTATATTATATTGGTTAGTCCGTATCCTTGTATCACTGCCGAAACTACAATAACTAACTACATCAATATTAAAAAAAGTTCACAGCATCTGCAAACTGAACGCTTTATTACATTCATTTCGCAATTTCTTCTCAGTGTAACGAATGGAATGCCATTCTACATTTATTTAGCGGTGTCTAAAGCGTTTCGTACTGATTGTAAGAAGCTTTTGAGCACATGGTGGCGTTACACCCAAACCCACTCTTTTTTTATTATGCGATAATAAGCAAAATAAATCTGATTTCATTTATTAATTAATCAAAACAAACTGCATGTACTTGATGTAACCGAATAGTTATTGATAATTTTCAAATTTCGGTTACCCACATTTGCTAATTGAACACCTGTTAGTTGTTGTTGGTCGTACTCAACTACTTTTTGATGAATATCATTCATATCATGTTTTATTTGTTGTTGTGTGACTGTTGTTGAAGCATTGTTTGAAAATTCAACTTCATTATGAGAATCGTTGGGAACTGATTCTATGAGTTTGTTTTCATTTTCATTTGTATTTGATTCCTGAAAGTGATTGACAAAACGAAAAACAGAGAGACGCCTTGGATAATTTGGTCTCATAATCTCAACAACATCATCATCATCGTCGTCATCATGATCATTTAAATCCATATCAGTACATTTTTGTAGATGTTGTATGAGCTGAAAAGTGTTTGATTGAATTTCTCGTTGAGAATTTCTTTAATGAAAAATAATTATTTGATGGTGTGGGTTTAAGTAAAGAAAAGATGTATGTACACATCAAGTATTCAATTCTTACCGACTAGGTAATGCTTGAATTTTCTTTTGAACATTTGGATCATTTGGATCAGCAATCATCAATGTTAGTAAACGTCTGTCATTCATAGCGAAAACAATAAAATCATTATTTACTCTCATCGATATCACAGAATCATAGAGAAATAATTTAGCCATCTGTTGACCATTATTAACTCGATACATAAACAAAATGCGAGGTTTAATCACAACAAAAACATATGTTGCTGTTTCATTTAAACATATTTGTTCACATTCATTTTCTATCTGAATCGATTTATAAAGTGTCTCAGAACGTAGATTGCGTAGATTAAGTTGATTTTGTCTAGTATTGACACTTGCTACAAAATTGTTTTTTCGACAAAATAGATCAGCTGTGTCCAATGGAATCATTTCTACAGATCCTTTTTTGTTAACTTCATCGAACTTAATTCAACATACAACAAGAGATTTATCATTAAAATGTAATAATATAGAATCTTGAGTTTGTTCATTCGAATAATTTTTCAAATTTAATGATAGTAAATGCTCTGAATGAGTTATATCGATATATATTAATAAACAAGTATGAGTCCAAATAGCTATTGATTGTAAATTATCATCAAATACAACTAGACTTTCATTTGAATCAAGATTAACAATTGTACTAAACATCATCGAGCATGGAATATTTAATTGTATATTATTTGTTTGTTTGAATTCGATATTATCATATGAACTTGTTTGTTGAACAATCGAACATAATGAACCTGTATTTGTCAACAGAAGAAAATCACCGTATGTAGTCGAATGAACTCTAGTCGGTGAATGTAGCTGAAGAACAAAGACAGGTTCATGATGAAGTAGTTCACATGGATAGATTTCTATTCGATGATTATTCAAAATTATTAAAATAAAAATCATATTGGAACTGAATTTATTTGATATAATAGCGAATTCATTAACCATCAATGGATCTGAATAGAGACGAATGGAATCGATCGATGTCGAATGTTGATATGACCATATTGCAAGTTCTCTTCAAAGAAAAATAAAGTAACTTATTATGTGTGATTCAGAAGTTTTCAGTGTTTCTATTCTCCTGTTATCTATGTGATATAATCAGATCATCAAGTAGAAAAGAGATTACACGAAGAAAACACTGATCTGATTTATTAAAAAAGTTACCGTCGTTCATTATCAAGTGTTATTGCAATAGTATCATGAAGTTGAACAGTTGCAATGACATTCTTCGTACGTGGAAATGATGGTACAGCTTTGTATGCTTCATGTAATTGTTCAGTTTGATATATATGAATTGCACCATTTGCCAATGAACAAAGGAAAATTAATGCTAAATATCACAAGATCGTATTATAACTATTTCTTTCGAATAAAAAAAATACGAACTCGATCCAATTACTGGTTTTATTCCAGTGACTGGTGATGAACTTATATCAATCGAAGCATATAGTTCATATGTATGTGAACATGTGTCTTCGTCAGTTTTAATACATTTCCAAACGAATATATCGATAATACCTCCTCGAGCAGTATAAATCGTATTTTGATTGTTTTCATGCATTGCCACAATATCAAAATAACCATCAATACGTGCATAAGAGAAATTCTGATCTTCACATTGATGAATAACACATAAACAATTTGTTGTCATTGCTATAAACAGTGGAGAATGGAACGATTCAGTAGAATTCATATTTAATCTTGTTCTATTTGGTAATACAATTTTTTTAATTGTTTTAGTTTCAATTGGTCTATCGAAAGTAATTGCCTTTTTAATAATATCAGTATCGGATAGAATATTTTTACTCTCATGAATACATTTCAAATTAATATATATGAAATCATTCGGTGCACTTCCTTCGTAAGTGTAAATCAAATTTGATTCATCAACAGCAATTAAATTTACATGTTGATCAATTTGAGTCGAACCGCGATGAGTAAATGATGTTTGATGTAAATCCATAATCGAATAAAAATTCGTCATTCCATCCTGACAAACAACAACAATCATTTTATATGAACGAATACAAAACACATATTTGATTTGTGATGAAAAAGAATCGAGTCGAGCAACTTGACGATTATGTATAAGATCCCAACATTCAATAGAATTACCATCAAGTTCTGTAATTATACAAAGACCATGTTTTAAATCAAGTATTTCGACTATCATAAAGCCAATATTTGATATTTTCTCAAATTTAACTTTATCATCTGCCGATACGAAATACATATGATGAAGTGAATTAACAAGAAAATGAAATTGTTGATAATTTTTATTCGGAATGTTTGTATATTTGGTCTCATTTGAATAAGAAATATTAGGTAATGTTGTTGAATTCAAATAAGATTCATTTAATACAGGTAATTTAACATCTAATGCTGTTCGTCCAGTTGTCATATCGATAACAACAATTCGATTTGATAGAGAAATAGCTGCTGTTTGATCGTCTGTTAAATCCAGATGAGTCACTGATGCTGTATGTTTATTCATTGAATAAACTAAACCACTTCCAGGTGGTTGCATTTGACAATAAGGTACAATTAAAGACCAATGATTAATACTTTGCTCATCAAATTGTTTAATAAGATGAGTTATATTCGGTTTAATACCGAAAAAATTCAGTAGACGTGATGAAAACTCAAAAACATAATTGTTTGGATATTCTTCAAGTAGACGACCGACAATCATATAAATCATTAATAATATATCTATTTCCTGTTTCATATCGAGTACTTCCTTCGATAATTGCTGTATTGAAGTTTCTTTGAAATGTTGCATGAGAAAAGCAATATCATCAAAACTGGAACATTGAGTTTTAGCATCTATACACACAACAAAACAGATTTTATTCGTTAAAAATTAATAGAAAATAACTTACGCATAAATGAATAATTGAAAAATACTTTATTGACAGCGATCGGTATGGCTAAATTTGGTGATAATTTACATAGAATTTCTGGCAATTCGTTTAATTTTCGTTTATTATATTGAATTTGACCGTAATCATCGATGAATTCGATGGGCTGTGATGTAATCAATCGGTTAGCTTGAATCTCTCCATTCGATTCAAATAAATGATATTTATCGATCAATTTTTTATTGTCAATTTTTAACGGTTTATTTTTTTCTTTCCAAGCTTCAGTATAAAGATCGATCATATTACTAAAAATAAGCGTTCGTTCTGTTTCATCTGTTTTCGATAGATACTGAGCATTGACAATTTCAATAAAACGCCGATGATACCTAAATATTCATATATATATATATATATATATATCTATCAATTAATGACTCCTACCAGTATATGACGGGTGAATCATCAACTTCTTTTTCTGTGATATATTCATCGAGATCATTTCTGATTCTTGTCCATAGAATGCCAGGTAAACGTTGTATCGGTGGAATATAATGTTCAAAAACACTTTTGAGAACATCATCATCAAGTGAAAGTACATCTTCTAATTCATTTTGACTAATTCCACTTCGACACGCTGTCATATAAGAAAGTGCACGACGAAATAAAACATTGTTATGTTTGAGTTGTAATTGATTAAACAGATATAAAATACAATCATCAACTGTACGACATGTTTTCAATTGATTATCAATTGTATCATACGAATGCCATGTACATAAAATATCGAAAACAAGTTTCATAAATAAAGGAACAATTGCATTTCGTTCTTTTATCCATTGAGTAATGAATAAACGTTGTTCATTACTCAATGTACGTTGTTTTATTTGAAGCCAATCATTGTAGATTATTTCGACAGTTGATGCATCGAATGGTGGTACAAAAATAAATAAATGTTCAATATTTTCATTGGATAATTGATTATAATTTATTATTGAGTTTAAATTTGAAAGTATTCCACCATGATCAGGTAAAGTTGAAACGATACATTTAATATTTTTTGGAAAAGTTTTTGGTAACCATTGACAATCGTATGCATCTTGTTGAAGTTGATCAATGGAATCAAATATTAATAGAAGATATTCATTATCGGGAATTTTAGAAAGTAAATCAGTTTCTAATTGACATCGTAATTGAAGTATATCGGGATAAATTTCCATAGATAAATTGTATAATTGACAAATTTGTTCAGATATAGAAACAAGAGTTTTGTGGATTGTTGATGATGAAGGTGTTGTTCTAAATAAATATTTAAATAATAAATATCGTTATAGAAAATGTTATACATACCCAAGAAAACGTAATATAACTGAAACAGATCGATCGGACCACCATTTTAATACCTAGACATTTATGATAATCATACACCCACAAATTATATGTGTGTATAAATACGTACTTCAAATGATGTTTTCGCTAATACACTCGTTTTTCCACATCCTGAATCACCATATACGACACATGCACGATGCTCATTTTTATTCATGATATACTCTTTTAACTATACAATGATAAATATTTCACAATCAATCAAAATATTTCGATAAAATCTTACTCGATCAAGTATATCGCTTCGACTATGAAATTTTGTTGAATATGTTTTACATTGAATTGCATGTTCCATGACTTCATGTTCTAATGGATTTGAATTGATTAAAACACGAGATTTAACACATTGATCGATTTGTTGTTTAACGGCATGATAAAAATCATTATTAAATTGAGTTAAATATTCACTATGATCGTGCCGATTGATTCCATTTGATGTCCAATGAACTTTATAGGAGAATATATTTGATGATTGTAATTTACTTGGTAAACGATTATATTTTAAATTGTTAAGTAATGTCTCAGCTTCATTATCAACAATTGGTTCTCCGGTTTTTGAGTACTGTACATCGATGTATTTTGATGCTTTACTATCGAGTAAATGCTCGTGAATATCGTCAATTTCTCGTAAAAAACATAAAGTACGTTGATTAGCATCTGGTGCTGTTAGAATACCATTGAGAATTTCTTTTTCAGTAACTTAAATAAAAAAAGATAAACCTTTGTTTTAATATTGATGCGTCATATCTACTCGATATAAAAAAATCATCGTATTGATCTTGATTAATTTCTCCTTGTTCGAAACATTTGGCCGCTGCTCTACGAAGACAAGTTCGAATACGATTATCAATTCTTTTCCATTCCTTTTCGGCTTGTTTCATTTCATCTGTATTCTAAATCAAATAACAAAAAACAAGATATAACATGTCGATTATGATTCACATAACTAACTGAAGAATTAATATTTGATAAAATCGATGAGGTCGATTGAAGAATATAAACAGCTGGTATACGATTCGTATCGAGTCTATACCATTGAGAAAGTAATATATCATCATCATCATCATCATTGGAATTCAATCGAATTCTTTCGTATAAAATTTCGAAGAGCGTAGCAGGAATAATTGCTGGTGTCGGACGAGAACCATAGCGATGACTTAACAATACCTATATGAATAGGAATAAATAAATTCATTTCTCAATCTTTAAAGAAAAAATACAAGTTTACATACTATAAAATTTGTAGCTACGGAATATTTTTTACAAATTTCAATTTCATTGATACATGTTTGAACTTCACTATGACTGTTACTTGATTCATTTGGAATTCCCCATCGCATATCTACATACTAATAGAACTAATCAATAGTAATTAATTTGAATATTTTATTTGAAAAATACATACTTGAAATTCGAGACCGTATTTTTGACGACAATAATCTTTGAGCTTTAGAAAAACATTTTCGATTAATGAATCTCTTTCGGCAAGTGTATCTAAATATGATTTATATTTTCTTTTAAATTTTTAAATTTTCATTTTTCTGTATGTTTGAACCTGTAAATGTGGAACTGAGAAAAATGCGTATCACTTTTGATCGAACATCTGGAATTTCTTGGCATCGTCCACGCAAAAAATCCATGTTATTGATATTTTCCATGATTAAATAATATAAATATTATACTTATGTGGTCACAGGTTATTACATCAATGAACTGCAATTGTTCAACATATATATGTCACCAAAATAGGTGTCGCACACGTTGACATCTTACATGTAGTCACCTTGGAGAAACCTCAATTATAATTGAAAGATAAGAAAATATGGCGTACGTCTATTATAAAAAGATCGAATAAACAGTATAGAGTGTAATAGATGATCTGAAATATCCTTGTTATTTGATTTATTATGAATTTAGAATTTTATCCAGTAACAATAAATCTAATGAATTCATTTGTTACAATGTCAATCAATGTAAACACAAACAAACAGAATTCTTTCTTTTTCTATAGATTCGTTATGGTATGATCTGTTACATTGACGGTGAGCGTGGAATCACAGATGATAGTCTCACACTTACACCTATCATAATCATGAGACTATGACTAAGATTTGGCTATGCGTCGTCACTCAGTATATATCGAAAATTCATTAATAATCAATTTCTAATCGGCTTTTCATTTTTTTTTCTAAGGTTTTCTTTGTATGAAAACCAAGAAGGAAGGAAAGGAAGATCGTTACGAAGCCTACTTAGTCACTTATAGTTATTAAAAGATAAATATTTCATTTTATAATTTCGTATATGAGTGTATTGTTTCTCGTGATAACACAGAAAAGAAGTGTTACTATTTGAAAAGTAATAGTTTGATATTTCAGCGTAAGGAACAAACAATATTTGGGTCATCGAAAAGCTTGTCTCGCAGGTTTCTAGTTCGAATTGTATTAATTACTGTTTTCAATTGAATGAGGTATTTATATGTAAGGTTTATTCTTTTGATAATACGGCAGAATCACAAAACATTTTAGTGAGTGAAATATAACGATGAGTTTAAAAACAAATGACATTAAAGTGAAAGAAGCTAACTACAACAACATCAATCAATGGGTGTCTCTAATTGAAATATGAAAATATATTTTTATAAATCACGACGTCGTCTATTTGTCATTGCAATCTGTTGTGGTACAGTTACTGTAAGAGGCATTATGGCTGTATGAAATTGACATCGAATAAATCTTTTGATCTTTTCTTTAAGATCTTGTATAGTATGAAGAAACATAAAAGGAATCAATAGTGGCATACAGAAGGATAATGGAAAAACCCATGCCATAAGATTATTACCAAAATTTGGATCCCATAAACCTTGTCCCAATAAAATGAGAAAATATCCGCCATTTGTTAAAAAAAAAAGAATAAAAAACAAACACTAAATAATTGTATTGCCATATTTCGATCTTTTGCCCATGTCATTTGTCTACCCATTCGATTCTTTTGATGAAGAATTCGAAAAAAAAGAGATAAATTAAAAACAAATATAAGCAATACTAATGCAAATCCATGAACTATTTGTTCATATAAAGCCATCACTGGACTTGCAAATAAATAACAAATAGTGATACAATACGAATTGACAGGATCATAAGAATTCTCACATGGATAGAAAAAAATGAAGATAATGTAATAAAGCAATGGATAGATAATACAGAAACTCAATGGAATATAATGACCAATAAAACGTGTACGAAATCTATTAAAGATTCGAGAATAAAAGATAAGAATATGTCTTTCAAATGAAGCCTATGTTAAAAGTAAAAAACATGTTGTAAATAAATAAAGATCAATAAAATAATAAAAATAACAATAGCTCACTGTAAATGGCAAAATCTTTTTTGTGTAATAATAACTAAGACGAAGTTGAATATCGGTCACAGTTTGAATACTATTACTAATAAGTAATAGAATAAGTACACGATTATTCAATGCACGGTATAATGTTCGCGTACTTAAGATTTGATAAATTACAAAGATAAAACATGGAATTGAGCAAATTATTAAAAATAATAAGATACTGAATTGAACTGGATGAAATGGAAAAAAACTATTGATGATTGCTGTTGTGTTATTCATGATGAAGATCCGATACTTTTGAACAACATCTTTATATGAGCAAGAAAAGAGAATTTCATCAGTTGGAAAATCATAAAGTTAGCATTTTCTTTCATCAAGATGCACTCAGACGTGTTTCTCCTTCAAGAAACATATCACTTCTGACAATTCTACTAAAAATATCAGGAAATGATCAAATAAATACCCGAATTTCAGAGTACAAAAAGAAATAATTTATGATATTCAGCTAGTTTAAAATAAGAATCCAAGTATAAACAAGGGGTGTGGGTCTGATTTCGGCTGTTCTACTCAAACCATACTCATACCCACATTCACATCCTCAAGATTTTCAAGTAAAATCATAATTTACGTTTATCTTTCTTAAAGAACTTTTTTGAATAAATTATAATATCTATATATAATCAATTTCATATTTTTTTATCATGATTTGAAATGAATATTTCAAAGCAATTACATCATGCATTATCATTTCTTTTCATATTAATATATGTATATTTTTAAAGAAAAAAAAATTATCTTTGATGAAACTGAAATAAATTGTTTAATATCTGTGTTTGAAAAATAATATGTTTACAAATTAAATGATCACTATTTGTATATCAACGATCAGTAAACTAACCATTTGCTTAATAAATGAATCGCCTCATTCGATATACACTATGTTAATCTACCACAGCCATCAATAGCAAATCGCTTTATATTTAACATACGAGTACTCGTCTTGTAAGAGTAACGAGGCGCATATTCTTCATTAGAAAAGTTTCAAAAATGTGTTTCTTCTATCTGTTCATCAATGATTCGCTCATCTGTATTAGTAAAAACGTTTAAATCGTTGTTGTTGTGCCAGTAATTGTAAGTAAATACTTTTCGTTTGATCCATTTAATTATTTTAATTTCATGAAATACATTCATATAAACATTGGAAGGATAGATATAGATTAAAAATGTAAGAACCATAGGCATATAATATAGAAAGTCGAGAGCAATATGTAAATGAATGTAAAGTTTTTGCTTACTTTTCTCTATGCAATATGTACCAGCAATATTTATTAACAATCGTTCTGGTAGTGTACAGATAATAATTACTATTGGTGGTATAAAGAAATCCTTATGTCTCAAAATTTGCTGTGTAATGAGAGACAACCATGAACTTCTTTGTAAATCATTCAATGTAATTTTGTAACGAATAATATGCGTTAGAGTGAGAATAATTGATAGAAAATTTAATACCCACGGTACAACAAAATGTAAGTAAATACTACCCATAACTTTATAAGCTGATTTTAAATTTTCGTTTGTATAATGATTAAATGAACAGACGTAGGATGTTGACAATTTGGGATTTTCTCCAACTGTTCGTCCTAAAGCTTGGATAATACTCACTGCAGTAAGAACGACGAGAAATATAATTGAAAAAATAGTTGAATACATGCGCGTACGATATAGACTATAATTAAAAAACTGAATGAGTGCTCGCTCAACAGCAATGAATGCACTAAGCCAAAGACATGCATAGAATGTTAAATAGAGAAATGTTGGTATAACTTGACAATGTACAATTGGTTGTTTATTCAACTCATCATTGTAGAATAGTGCTACAATTGCAATGATTTCCAGTGATGCTATGCCAAGAAAACTGAAGATCGAATAGAATATTATATAGAGTCCACAAACTGTAACACGTATTCTGTATACAAAACATGTTATAATACTCAAATAACTATTGATAAAGGATATAAACGTAAGAAGTGAGAATACGAAAATATAAATGATCTTTATCACCATTCGTGTAGTTAGTTGTTCGAGGAGAATGTCGATTGACATCAGCGAACTCATCGAATATTGTACATAATAGTGGACATTTTCACAAAATTCACCCTGTGTACAATCACTACACAGACAATAATAGTTTGTTGTTTCATTTATCATGACTTTCATACATTGCCCATTGTTTAAACACTTACATTCATTCATTCTACGTAGTTGTATGCTATATCTTCGTTTAGTTAAGTGGATATAATGAAAATAACATTTTTCTACGTGCATAATTTTCATATTTTTAAGACGATTTATTAACGCTACTGGATATTCTTTATTCATGTGTAAATTATTCTGTATAGTGTTAAGTATTACATTTATATTATCGTTTTACTTAAGAACTAAAAAAAAATACCAATGGTATATAATTTATGCTTATATTTTTTTATTTGAGAAAAGAAAAAAAATAAATTCTGAAAGTATTCTGTCGTCCTCTTTATATATTCTAAAGAATATTTAATGGTGGGTGTAGGTGTCTTCCCTCATACAGTAAGGAAGACATTCGTTCAAAAAAAAAGTATAGAATCTCAATGCCATGTGACTTCATTTTGTTATTTGATTACGTCAAATGTTATTCTATTCTGAGTTAGTTACTGGCAATGACGCACGAGAACATGAGTTGTTCTTTTTCTTCTGTTGCCATCAACCAACATACATATCGATGGTAGTTATGTTTATTTAAACAGTTGTCGTTAAAATAAGACACTTTGTGCCATTGTGAAAGATTTCTTTAAGATAATATGACCGATAAGAAGGAATCGATGGATCCATTTCGTTCAGAAACTATTAGTGAAATAAAATCTTCTGACGATAATCAATTGTCATCATATCAACAGCTTATGACTCGATTAGAACAGTTCAAAAATTTGTCAATATCAACAACTGAATCTAAAAAACAAGTATGGCTGAAATTTCTTTCTGTTTGGGGTGAAGTTCTTTCAATTTCTGCCTCCGATAGTCCATCGTGTTATACTGAATGTCGTTCTATTCTAGCAACTATGATAGAATCAATTGATTTTTATACCATAAGAAAAGATAGTCTTATTGCCAGGGAAACGTTTTTCTGGTGTATCAATCAGCTCAATCAAACTCACATAAAGAATTATCTTTTATTAACTAAAGACGAACAAGAATCAGAAGAAAATAAATTGTATTATAAACACGTTACTTATATTCTGTTATTTGGTGCGCAAGCAGAGTCATTTTTTACATTCGAATCCACCCAAGATCAGCAACATATTGAGGAATATCGTGAACTGCTTACACTTTTTATTAATCGTATTGATAAACGAATGCCAGAACATGCATCAACAGTAATAGAAAAAGATTATAACATCGGAACTATTAATGAGCTTATTTTAAATTTCATATGGAATTTATCAGACCGAACAGTTCTTATTCCTATGTTATTGAAATGTGATCTTGCTAAACGAGCTATTGGCTGGCTCGCTCAAGCATCTATGTTATCAGGAAAAAGTCGTCGATCATTGATTAGTATTATTCATAATATTGCTCGACATGATGATGGTGCCGATGAACTCAATAAATACGATGCAGTTATTATCATTAAAAGATATGAAAATTCGTAAATCATTTTTTTTCTCTCTTCTAGTTTAGTTTAATCGAACTTTTGTTTTAGGAAAATAGAAACATCAGATTCTCGAATTCTTCTTATTTCAATGGCTTTAGCACTTGTGTCTACACCTGAACAATTGAAACGTGACAAAAAAGGAATGAATAGTGTATTCAATCAATTATTACAATTAATAATAGATGCAACTAAAGCTGACCGATATCGAAGTGATGGTTTTCATGTTAGTGAACCATTATGTATATTAGTAAAAATGTTCGTTGTTGAAGAACGTTCATTAGACTATATACTTTATCATGCTGAAACTGAACCATCATCTGATATAAGTTCAACAATTGATTTATTTGTTACAATATTTATCGATTTTTCTCATGCATTAAAAAGTACTGATCGACTTGAACAATTTACATTAATTGCTGTTTTAAATATTTTATGGAGTATTTCATTTCAATATAATTATCAACAAGAATTAATTAAAAATGAAAAATTTCTTGATAAATTAAGAATATTTATAGAAAATAATGATTTAGAAAATATGATTGAACAATATAAACCAAGATCAATGGAAGGAATTCATCAAGCAACTCAAGGAATTTTACATAATCTTAATTTAAATGATAATGAAATAACAGGTAACAATAACATTTCAAAATATCAAAATTTTTCTATCAATGCACTGCCAGTAAACACAATTAAAGAGTATAAAATTTATATTCGTTATCGACAAGAAAATTTTATCTTTATTGTTCATATATTTTAGGTTAAACTCCAAACCATGGATTATGATTAGTTATTGCCATGATAATAATGAATTTTGTAGTGAAATATATGATTTATTATCTACATGTAAGGATGATTTTAGTATTTGGATTGATCGAACTCATTGTCAAGGAGCAGGAGATTTATGGGAATCAATTGCAAATGGAATGGAGCAATCGAATGTTATTCTATGTCTTCTTTCAGAACAATATTTTCAAAGTAAATCATGTCGTCAAGAATTTATTTATGCTGTCGATTCATTGAAGAGAACTATTGTACCTGTTTTAATTGGAAATTTCGATCCAAAAGGATGGCTTGGTAAGTAAATAGATGTACAATCTATGGGTAGATAATATGTCGTTGATATTGTTTTGTATTCTTACTTGATGCAGCAATTTTAACGATATCAGATATAGAGCTGAGAAAATCATAGATGCAGGGCAATGTGTATATAAAACTGAAATAGAAACATAATATGCACAGTTCCACCCATGTTTGAAAATTTGAGAAAATGCATATTTTCGGATCAGTTTAAGTTGAGTTGAAAGACACTGCATGTTTCTTTAAGGATATTTAATCTAAATAACAAAAAAATGGAGACTTTTCCCTATCTATTTCACCATTTAGCAGTGTCGTCTTCTTGCACGATTTCTAGTAATAACGATCACATAGCATTAAAGATACACATAAAAGAAGAGCACATGAGTCTATATGAGAATTGAACGGATCAATAGTAAAATATTATTTGTCGCCAATATTTCCTCCATCAAATGAAAGGAGTACATAGTTGGGAATTATTTCAAAAGGCAACTGGATAATGAAATACATATTGGTGTGAGATTTTCAATATAAAACTGAATATGTTTTAGGTATTCGTATGACTGGTATGAAATATATTCGTTTTCGAGATATTGATCAATTAGAGAAAAATAAAAAAACTGAATTGTTGAATACAATTCGTCTATCTGTATCATCTTCTAAAACGACGACCCAACAAAATGCTGTACCATCACAACATCATAGTGTACCATTGGTTGTTAATGATGTAGCAACTTCAAATTTTTCATCTCAACCGTTATTAGATGACGATAAGTCGAATGGTAATGATGTTAACGCATGGTTCTTATCTCATCGAATTTCTCCGAAAATTTGTAAATTATTTAATTTTGAAACACGTGAAGAAATGTTCGATTATGCTCAATTATTAATTAAAGATCGTGAGAAACAAATGAATATTTATGCAAAAATCTATGCGCAACGAAATCATGGAAATGAAATGCCTCCACATGAATTTCTTCGATTTGCCAATGCTTTAGAAAAACAACTAAACGATAATACTCTATCTACTACTTCTAGCGTATTAGACTCATCCAAATCAACTCGATCTACTACATGTACTATTTCATAAAATCAAATGAATAAAGATTTTTCTTTTCGATATCAATATTAACTATACTAAAAATAAAGATTTGGATGCTAAATACGAGCGATAGAGCTATCATATATGTTCGTAAACAAATCCGACAAGTATAAAAAAATAAGAGAACAAGAGTTCGAAAATCCTATCTTTGAAAAACTATCAGCGATTAAACAACGAAAATCATCTGAATATAAGTGTAAGCCGGACTGTCGAGAAACGAAAAATTGCAACGGTTTCTCAGTTGCTATTACCATACTCAGGTATAGAATTTCAAAAATTAGCGTCCCGTCATAAATATAAATACCAGATTTTTAGATATTCTCGTCATTGTTGCCATTGATCGAAGCGTCAGTTTGTATCCATACATATGAATATTGTGAACGAGGTCTACGTGATTCATATATAATGGAAAATATTAATAGATATATATCGTGAATATCCCAAATATTTATTAGGATCTTCTTGAAACTGCTCTTCATCATTATATCCGTGTATTCATGGGCATAAGATTGTTAGTACATCAATTCGTCAGATATCAATTTTAGAATTACCAATTGTTTCGAACCACATAAAGATCATATACGATAAGTTATCTATTAAAAGTTGAATAGGCGAAAAACGATGTTATGTTGAGTTATTCTATTATTTTCTGAAACGACTGTTAGCGGACTAACGCAATTGTGTATTCGACAATACAAATAGCAATGAATTATGTTTTAATTATTACTATTTCATAGCACACAGTAATCAAAAGTGTTAAGGAAAAAGCATTGATTTACAATTGATCACAAGACAGATATTACGATTGATAAGTTGTGTCTATTTTTACAAGAAATTTATATTCTTATGAAACTGTTTCGATTACTGACTCACTCGAGAGCACAATTGCTTTGATATTTTAGGAGTAGTGCTCTGAGAAACTTCACTAGAGATAACCTACAAATCATTCCATAAAGGACTATAAAAAAGCTTGATGCTCCGTATAATATCTTATCCAAGTCTATATCAAGTCTTGGAGCTGAAATAAATTGCTTGAACATCGAGAAATATTTCTTTGTTGAATGCATCCTCTGAACTACTATTTTCATCATATTGTCTGTGTTTTTCAATTAGCCTGAACTATTCAAACTCTCCCACTGACCAGCTCCATCAAAAGTAAAACATTGAATATTATATTTGATCCATTCATCTACAATACTCTAAGAAACAAACTGTTGTAAACCTTGCATTCTCCATTTATATTTATTGTACACAACTATAAATGCTAAAATCTACATCGTTGTATATACTGTTTTGTGCATTTAAAATGAGTGCGTCGTTTCTTTCTCGCATGGTTATGTTATTATTTTTACTGTTTCAATCTTTTTCTCTGTTTCTAATGAGATGCAAAGAGTCAATACAAGACATCGTTAAATAAAGCGAATAAAAAAATGCTTTCCTTTCAACATGTGAGTGAGTGTCAATATTGACATATGAAAACATGGAGAACTGATCTTCACCATAACGCGGATAACTGTTTTATTATTTTTTTTTCGATGAAGTTTTGCCGTAGAATAGTCCGACGATTGCATTTTGTATTGATTGGTACAAGTTACTGTTTGAAATCTACAAGTGCCTTTCTCACAAAATATTTCATTTATATCATTTTTCAATACAACATTCATTCTGTTTAAATCAAATATGTAATTATAGGTATTGTATAGATGTACGTTTTAAAAACTTAAATTTATTTCATCAACGATGGATTGCGGTGTTCACTATAATAATATACACTTCCTGAGTTTTTCATATAAGATTTAGTTTCTACATAATTGCATGATAAATAATTTTTAATAATTTTACTTTTTAGATATTCGAAGAGTTCTATAGATTTTATGGCTACAGCACATATTAATAAGAAGAAGAAACACAGTAACGAAAGAGAAAAAGTTCATTCTAACAAACATTCTGCACGCAGATCTATATTTGGCGAGATTGATCAAACAAAAGAATATATTATCTATTGGTTATATGATAGTGGCATTATACCACAGGATTGCTATGAAATATCACAGAATAAACTACGAGGTATTGTCGATTATCTTCGAAAAATATCAGATATTAATAATATCAGAGAAACCAATGACGAAAATATTTTTCTCGTCACAAACCTATCTTCTCTGAAGAAACAGTTCAATCAACTGACTAATTTCAATCAGATTCGTTTAATTTACACCTACGAAGATAATGATGATAATGAAAATCAAAACAACAGTAACGAATTACTCGTCGGATGTCACAAGGTAAGTGATTAAATGAATGAAGTACGACAATCAACGTAGAGATTCATTTAGCTTTACTCATGTAGTTTATATTGTTAAGTATTGAAGTATTGAAAATTCGCTAACATTTCTTCCATGATGAAACTTGTATCTAAAATGGATTGTGTCTATCAATAGAACGCAATTTCAGTTGAAGTTTTCGATAAAAAAGTGTACGTTACCATAGGAGAAATGATAAATATGTTTTAAAGTCAATTGACTCTATGAAATTTTCGAAGATGATTCACTACGAGCTCAAACTAAAAGCAGATAAATGTTCCTGAGCACCTCCTAATATACGTCCTCTATGTAAATCATGAAATAACGTAAGCTATGACAGATTTTCTATGGCTTTACTGTCTTTTAATCATTTGGTTTAGGTGCGTGGCCCATTCCAAGACCTAGACGAACTTTTCTTTACGCTTTCTAAAAATGTTCGTACGATGACTGGTCAACCAAGTATGGTAAGCGAACTGGCATCATTAACAAGTGCTTCGAAAACAGTTGAGCGATCAACTACAGTCAGTTATTCTTATGTAACTGATTGGTATATTAATTTGATTCGTGCTTTTCAAGAAGTACCACCAGCTCAAAGTTGCAAAACGAAATTCGTTGAAGAATGTTGTATGCTTTATGAGCACAATCCGACTATTCTGCAAACGATAAAAGAGTTTAGTAATACGTATGTTCCCGAAGAGGCAATTCGTTGGTATACACGTGATGGATTTCTGTATAAAGTACTTAATAGAGTTCTTCGTGAAAAAAATCAACAGACGATTCAACTACTTCATTTCCTTATTTATGATCTCAATCGACAATTAAAAAACGAATTAAAAATGACACCACAAAATTGGATGAAAGCTGATACCGTACGTTTATATCGTGGGCAGCTGATGTCGATGGATGAATTGCAACAGCTTAGAAATAATAAAGGTGAAGAGTTATTTGTCAATAGTTTTCTCTCACTGACGACTGATCTTGCTGTTGCAAACATGTTCTCAGGTGCAGGTGCTTTTGGTCTTGATAGTCCCATGCAGTCGGTTATTTTTCATATTGAATGGGCAGCTATCATTCCTACGCAAGGTCCTGCAAATATTGAGCGTCTAAGCTTTAATAGAGATGAAGGCGAAATCCTTCTTTCTCCAACTTACACTGTCAATTTTCTCGACTGTGTTTATGATGAGCAAGAACGTGTATGGAATGCGACATTTAGTCGTATCGCACAAACAGATGATCTTTTGATACGAATCAGTGATGATGAACGTCTCATGAAACTTGAACTTATATTACGGTATTTACTTGACGAAAAAGATTCACTTGATGATGATACAGAAGACATGCTTGACACATCTTCTGTTTTACAAAATGATGAATTTGAATTTACAAAAAAGTTTTGTTCAACATTTGTCGAAGATGTGCCGATTCTTGTACGTGAACTAAAGTTACCAGAATTGTGTAGTGTCACGTTAAATGATGATTCTTCGGATCGTTTTCATTTGAGAACACTTCGATCATTCACCACTGATGCACTCGATCATGGACCTAAAATTCAAGATGACATGATTGTTACTCTCTATGATGCTTTGGGTGGTGTGTTCAAAATGAATGGAAAACTTATGGAAGCTTACTATTATTATCAAAAAGCATCGATATATGACAAACCTCAATCACAAACAACTTATACAAGACAGGTCGGTGATTTTAATTAATATTTTCGAAAGCGCTCTATTTATTTCTCTAAACATCATATGTGCAAAACAATGATAATCAGAATCGAGTATCGTGATTTTCATGTGTTTTCGTTGCTACAAGCTCAAAATTTCAGTGACAAGTTGTTCATATTGAGTCATAGATCCATTTAATAGAGATTCATCGACTGTATCACATTCCGTTAAAGATGAATTGTTTATACCTTATGACTTATCGATTGATATCATGAAATAAATACCATGCAAATCTATATTTTCTGTCGAAATCTGACTCAATTCGTATAAATTGTATTATTTACTAATCAGTATCGTAAAAAAATTCTTTTCAGGCTCATCTGGCTCAAATTCATAAACTTAATGGTAATTATGAACTTGCCTGGAATATTTTCAATGAACTTATGGATCGAACAAACGATGCAGATAATTTCCTGTATGAAGACATTGCATTTTTTCGATCCAGTGATATGTCTGATCAGGCGTTTCTCCAGAACTCACATAAATTTCTCCAATACTGTTCCAGTTACGCTGATGCTGATAATGATGTTGAAGAAGTTAATGATGATGATGATGACGATGACGATGATGATGATGATGATGACTTAGAGCACGTTGATGATGAAAGAATGGCATATGTCATTGAAGCATGGGCTGAGCTAGGCTACAGGTACTTCTACCTGATTCATGACAGCCAGCAAGCTCTGGATTGTTACACACATGAGCAAGACCTGGCATTAGTTTCTTCAAAATCGTCTTTGTCTACTTTCAACCCATTGATTGGATCTTGCTCAGAACGACTGGGTGATGTTTATGCATCAAAAAATGACATAGAAAACAGTTTAACTCTTTACCAAGAAGCTGTCGACTTGTCTCTACAGGGAGAATTTCGTCTAGATGTAATGTCAACAGCAAGATGTATGTGTAAAATAGGACATTATAGACCAAAACATGATTCTGAAATATTTTACCATGCTTTCAAACATCTTACCCACGGTTCTGGGAAGCCCTATACTCGAGATACGATTGGAAAATGTTACATGTATTTATCTCGAAGTCTTCAACGATGCGAACGATACCAGCAAGCTTTAAAATATGCTAAACAAGCTTTACCTATTTTTCAGCCCGATCCACTTCTACTCGAACGATTAATCGATGACTGCTGCCAATTACTAATAGAGTTGCATCGATCTATCAGTAGTGACAATGATAACGTACCCACAAAAGAGGAATTTCTCGACAATCGCATATGTCTAAATGATGAACAAATTAAAAACATGTTAAAAACGACGCTAGAAGAACTAAAACACGAGTTAGAAAATAAATGAATGAATGTTAAGTAAACACATCGTGAATGCATTGTTGAACAGAAGTAGTTGAGGGTGGGTGTGGAAGAGGGTGTAGACATATGCACATTATTGATCAACTGAGCACGCTCAGTTCTATCCACACCCTTATATTTCATCATTTCTGTCACTTTGTCCCATTGAAACAAAAGGCTCCAGGTTTTTTGTTATAATGCACCAGATCTGATCAATACTTCCGTGAATCTTGTTGGGAAAAACACGTAGTTCCTATGGAGCGGTGTGAGTATGCGAATCAAGCATGAATCGAATACTCACATGCGCTCCATGTTACAGCCACAGAAAAAACTTGTCCGAAGTTTTGGCGACTAGTCCGAAATTTATTCTAGAGATACTCTGATCTATAGGCAATAACAATTGATGTAGGAAACTTCAATCAAAAGCTATTCCGAGCTCTGTGTTAGATGTTTTCAACGCTCGGTAGAAGTTTTAAATACCTTGATAGAAGAAAATCTTGAAGGTGTGAGCGGATGAGACATGATTCTAGCTACCAACCACTTCTCCACACCCAAACTAATACATTTTTTTAAAATTTTGTTACAAACATCAATGCTGTCGCATGCTGTAAATGTTATATTAAAGATCTCTTCAATTTAAATATATGATCTTCTGTAATTAATTACTATGGTGACGAAGATTTCGAAATATTGATAACGACATTAACATTCGTCTTTAGTTTTAAAAGAGAAAAATAAATAATGAAATCGAATGAAAATTTTCAAATCACATCAAATTGATATTTCTCTGATCTCATCGAGTTTATTTTTTCCGATAAAACAATTAATAATGAGCAATTTAACATTTCGAAATAGTTTTCTTTCTCATTTTATTTTCTTCAAATTCAATTCGATTGATTTTAGACCAATTCTTTATTTAAACATATTTAATGAACATCCTTAAGAGAAGTTCAGAAAAAACCTTGATCACTATGTCTAAGATTATTAAATTGGTTAGTGAAGTAAAGAGAATTGAATAGATTAATGACATCTATTCAAAATTTCATAAAGAAAATTCTTTTTTTTTATTCAATGAAAATTACAATGTTATTTATATTTCAATTCATATATAGACGAAAGATCAATACAATTCTCATAACTCATCTTCTTTAAAGAGACTTAGTTTTCATTCAATGTGAACGAATATTAAATAATTTCATGATAAAGATCTCTTATCTATCGAAACAAGGTTTTCTTCGTTCTGTTACTACCGACTGATATTTATCTACCTTGACTCATTTTGTTTAATATAAATAAATACACAGACAAAATGATAACAAATATTCATTTCGTTTTTTCGAAATTCTTCGACAAATGGCAACAGCAAAAAATAAAGCACAATGTTTTGTGTGTAACAAAGAAAAAAATACATACGATTGTAAAGGATGTTCCAAAGAATTCTGTTTTCAACATTTAACAGAACATCGACAAATTCTTGACAAACAGTTAGATGAAATTATTAATGATCATGATCAATTTCAACACACAATTATTCAACAAAAACAAAATCCACAAAATGCTTCATTAATTCAGCAGATTGATCAATGGGAAAAAAATTCAATTGAAAAAACTCAACAAACAGCACAACAATGTCGAGAAACACTGATGAAATCAACAGAAAAATCGATTAATGATGTGGAAAAAAAGTTTATTGAATTATCTAAGAAATTAAAAGAAATTCGTGAAGAAAATGAATTTAATGAACTTGATTTAAATCATTTTCAATTACAACTAAAACAAATTACAAAAGAATTTGTCACACTATCAAATATTTCTATTCGACAAGATTCACAAGAATTTATCAAGAAAATTTCAGTTATTTCATCTTTCGGTATGTTTACTCAATTATTTCATTTCGAAAGTAAAGTTTCAAATGTTAAAAATGAACAAATATAAGATCGTGAGAAGTTTAAAAATACCTCATAGCTAAATGATTTGAATCTGTATCTTGAGGATATACAAAGATTTGTCAAACTATTTTAATATGAAAGCAACTCTTCAGAATTATTAATTATGAAAAAAATTAATCTGTGTAATAGACTGCAGTAGCGCAAGTAGGGGGCGCATACCCCCCCCCCCCCCCCTGCTTCTAGAAAGCTCACTCTTTTGACCATTGAAATAGAAAAACTAGGATTACGCCCCTGATAGACTGTGTCAAACATCAGAATATCGCTTTATTATTTTATACATAAATAAAGATATTTTTGTTGAAGTGAAAAGTGTTAGTGTGTGATAGATATAATACTCATACACACTCAGACCTCATCTAAAATAATTTTGGTTTTGAAAATTAAATACATTTTCTTCCATAAATAAATACATTTCGTATTTTGTAGGTAGAAAAATATTTTTCCAAAACAAAATAAATATTTTATAGAGGAACCTTTGGGATTTATATTCAAAAGATAAAATATGAACGAATCCTCTCTCTGTATATCTTTTTATCTTAATTGAGAAAATCTAAAATCATAAAATTGAATTTTGATTCGTTCCATTATAAACTCTTTCAAAAAACTTAAAAAATAGTTCTAATAATTTAAATTATACTTTATTTATTTTTTTATTGTTGTCAAATAAAATGATCATATTTTCTTTGTATTAAGATTCTTATCAATCAAATCATTCTACAATTAGTACAGCAACTATTTCAAAGAATCCAATAACAACAAATGAAATATCAACTCAATCTCAGATAAAACAAAGTATGTTTCATGGAGGGTGTGGGTGTGGGTGTGGGTGTGGGTGTGGTTGACATAAAATACCCACACCCTATTTTTTTTAATGAAATCATTCCTTTTTTTGTTTTTTTTTTAAAGATTTATTCTAATAGAAAATTCTAATCTCAACAAATTTCTTAGAATAAATAGAATTTTTATAGTTTTTTTCATTTGAAAAATCTCTTTTAGTATTTTTCTTGTTTTTAAATTGTTCAATAAATTTAAGCTAAGTTTAACTTTTTAGTTTAGAATTTTCAAAGAAAAAAAAAGTTTTTAATCGATTTTATTTAAATCATTCAAATAAAAATGATTTTATTTAAAGAAGATTTTTCTAAATTACACTTCTATAAAAATCAAATAAAGAAATCTCAATTGAATGAAGAAATTATTGGAAATTTATTTTGTTCATTAAAAATTAAGTTTTATAAATAGAAAGTTTTATTTTATCAACACAAATTCAAATACAAGTTTCTTTTCTTATTTTCGCCCTTTTTTCATTTAAAAATAATGAAAATCTATTATTTTAGAAACATTTCAAATAAAAAAGAATAAATTTCAACAATTTGCAATTACTGTTGCTGGAGGAAGTGGAAAAGGACATGAATTAAATCAACTCTCGGATCCTTTAGGGATCTTTATTGATAATGATAAATCAGTTTATATTGCCGACTCTTATAATCATCGTATTGTTAAATGGAAATTGAATTCAGTTACTGGTCAAATCATTGCACGTGGGAATCAAAATAATCAATTGAATTATCCAACAAATATAATTTTTGATAAAAAAAATAATTCTTTTATTATCTCAGAATGGGGAAACAAACGAGTAATTCGATGTTTTGGTCAAACTCAACAAACGATTATTTCAAATATTAGATGTACTGGTCTGGCAATTGATAAAAATGGATTTATCTATGTTTCTGATTGGGACAATCATGAAATAAGACGATGGAAACAAGGAGATATAAAAGGTGAATTAGTTGCAGGCGGAAATGGTTATGGAAATCATCTCAATCAACTCAACGTTCCTACTTTTATCTTTATTGATGGCGAGTATTCTCTTTATATATCAGATAATAAGAATCATCGTGTAATGAAATGGAGAAAAGATGCTAAAGAAGGAATTATTGTTGCTGGTGGAAATGGTCAAGGAAATAGTCTCAGACAGTTGTCTTCTCCTCAAGGAGTCTTTGCTGATCATTCTGGCCAAATCTATGTAGCAGATGAAGGAAACAATCGATTAATGCGTTGGTGTGAAGGAGATAAAGAAGGTGAAATTGTTGTTAGTACAAATGTTCAAGGAAATCAATTGAATTGTCCCACAGGTTTATCATTTGATAATGACGAAAATCTTTATGTTGTTGATCGTAATAATCATCGAGTTCTAAAATATAAACAAATTTGAAATTAAATATATTTTTAATTTAATTTGATAAAACTTCTTTTAATAAAATAAATAAATTTGTTTTTAATTTCTAGAAAAAAAAGAAAATTCAATTAAAAAAAAGTTTTATTTTTATAGAAAATCAAATAAAATATTTTTCAAATCGAGAAAAATATTTAAATTAAAAAAAACAACTTGTGAGTAGAAATTTTATTCGATTTATTTTTGTGACCTTATTTTCACTTCTCTGTTGATGTGACCAATTATTATTTTGTTAGTCGTTAATAAATAAAATATCAGTGGTGTAGATTTCGTGTTTTGTATGACTGACACCTTCATCGACTATTGTCAAAGGATGAGGGTAAGTAGATATAGGGTGAGTGTGTGTTTCTTTTTCGAAAGAGTGGTCTTTTATCTGGAGTTTATATATTTATTCGTTCTCTTCAACTCGACCTTTTTCTTTAACAGTTGCACAAAAAAAAATTGAAATGAAAAATATTCCCCAAGCATGAAAAAGTCGTATGATTACAACTAATACTCAATCAGCAAAGAGATTAAGACTTTAAAACAAGTTTCTAAAAAAGAAAAGAATTTTTCTTCATCTTTTCCAATAACTCTCCAAGAATAAGCACCAGATGCAATAAAATACGTCCATTTGTGCATTAACTTGTTTGAATGTTTACGAAAGTACCTCTCATCTTATGTATTATCTTTTTTGGTGGTGGCGGAACTAGTCTTTACGATCATTTCACCACCAAGAGATGCTCTCCTTTCGACTTCTATAATAATGCCGACAGCTATATTTCCACGCATTTCACGAATAGCAAAACGACCCAATGCTGGATAATCAACAAATTTTTCAACGCATATTGGTTTTAGTGGGATCAGTTTAACAATACCAGATTCACCTGATTTAAAGCATTTTGGAGTTTCTTCAATAACTCTACCTGTCCGACGACAGGTCTTTGATATAAATTCAACAAATCTACACGCAACATGAGCAGTATGACAATCAACTATCGCTGTATAACCAGAACAGATTTGATTAGGATGATTAAGGAAAACAATCTAGGAAAAATTCGATAGGCATTGTAACACTTTAGAAAAAGATAGATAAAAAGATTAAACTCACTAGAGCAGTAAAACTTGCAGCTTCCCATGCTGGATCATTTGTTACATCTGAACAAACAAATCCACGTCGAAGTTCTCGAGTACTAATACCTTGAACGCTAAAGCCAATATTGTCTCCCGGATGAGCTTCTAAAAAAGAAAGGAAAATATCGAATACTTCAACAGACAAAGACAACAGTTTTCTTACCTTCCATAGCATCATGATACATCTCAATGGATTTGACTACAGTTGTTAAATTTAATGGAGCAATATTTACTGTCATATTCGATTTGAGCACACCAGTTTCAATACGCCCTACGATTACTGTACCAGTCCCAGGAATTTTGTAGACATCATGAATTGGTAGTCGAAGTGGTTTTGCAATTGGAAGTTGTGGAGGAATGATAGCATCAAATGCTTCTAGCAGTGTCTTACCTGTAACACAACTATCTTTGCAATCAATTGACCAACCTTGATACCAAGGCATACGTTCTGATGCGTCAATAAGATTGTCACCATGCAATGCTGATAGTGGAATATAAGGTACAGTTTCTGATGGATAACCAATATTCGTTAAATAAGTTGTTAGTTCACTTTTGATTTGATTGAAACGTGTTTCGGAAAAAGGTGGCTCTGTTATATCCATCTTATTGACAATGATGATCAGTTGTTTAATACCTAGAGTGTATGCCAATAGAATATGCTGAAGTGTTTGACCTTCGTTCGATACATCAACTTCAAATTCATTCGAACTAGCTGATACTACCAAAAGTGCACAATCAGCCTGACAGAAAAATCATTTAAGCATAGTTATATCGAATAAGAGAAAATGAAAATAAAACATACCTGTGAATTACCTGTAATCATATTCTTCATAAAATTACGATTACCTGATGAATCAACGATAGTAACATGATATGCACTGGTCATGAATTCTTTACAAGTTCCACGAAGGAGAGTACCCAATCCTCGACAAGATTCCTCCTCGAGGCTATTCATAAATAAAGCATATTTTAATGAACTATTGCCCCTCTGTCAATTGTATAAAATATAAGATTAGATAGATAATATTAGAATAAAAAGAGAATCTATACCTCAGTGGCTTCTCTTTCAAATCTCGTCATATTTCGCTTGCCAAGATCACTGCATTTACATATCAAATGGCCACCTATACTCGACTTACCAGAATCGATATGACCCATAACGACGACATTAATATACGTCTTTTTTTTACTCATAAATGTAAATTAAAACTTTAGCAAAAATACAATACAAACGAATGCTGTTCGTTTCTTTATATGTTGTCATGTTATTACGTCATATTACGTGAAATGAAGACACACGACAAAATTATGCTTAAATAAACGGCAGAACGCAAAATGTCTTTTGCATTCTGTATACCATGCACGTGATATAAAATACGATTGACAAAGTTAAGAAAAGAAAAAAATGCATTGCATCATCGAATATTTTAGATGATGAAATGAGACAAATCAATTGTGAAAACTCGATTCTGTATTAAATAATATATTTTTAAAACTACTTTCAACTACAAATTCTAACTAAATTTTTAAGTTTTTTTGTTCAATGTCAGCCATTAAAACTAGCACGAGTCCGCCACGTTCAATCGATCATTATTATTCTTCAACATTTTAAGAGCATCTTGTGCAACTTTGCTGCTGGTACGATTCATGTTGAGATTGAGTGTGGTCAATGTCTATATAGAGAGTGAAGATCAAAAATGGCAGATGAATTAGAAAAAGTATTACTGTGTTGCTTTGTAGAGCATCAGCAAGATATTGAACACCTTTTCCTTTAATTTCATTATCTCCGATATCAAGTGTAGTGAGCGTCTATGTTAAAAAGTAAGAATGAAAATAAAGAAAATGAGGAAAGACTAAATTCACTTTGTTATTTCGTAAAGCATCAGCTAAATATTGAGTTCCTGTGTTTTTTATTCTATTACTTTTAAGATTGAGTGTAGTGAGTCCCTGTATAAAAGATAAACATCAAAATAAGAGTTAAACGTGAATAGCAAAAACGTTTCACCGTGTTGCTTTGTAAAGCATCAGCGAGATGTTGAACTCCTTTAGCACTAATTCGATTCGATTGGATGTTGAGTGTTGCCAGCGTCTACGTGAATAAACAGCATTAGAGGAAATAGAAATGAAGATCAAAAAATGCTCACATTGTTATTCCGTAAAGTATCAGCCAAATACTGAGTCCCTTTGGACTCAAGTCCATTTCCACCAAGATCAATTGAGGTCAGTGTCTATTTGAAAAATTATAGATATGAGAAGAAGAAAAAAGACGATGCTCACCGCATTATCTCGTAATGCGTCAGCAACATATTGAACTCCTTCATATCCAATTCCACAGCTTTCAAAGTTGAGCGTAGTGAGTGTCTATGCAATAGAAGCAAATTAGAAATAAAAAAAAAACAGAATAAATTCACCTTATTAATTCGCAAAGCATCGGCCACATATTTCGCTCCTTCGCTGAACATTAGGTAGTTACCTTGAATGTTAAGTGTAGTGAGTCCCTATGTACAAAATAAAGATGATCATACTATCAATACTGAGAAAATATTTTACCGTATTATTTCGTAAGATTTCAACTAAATGACGAGCTCCTTCCGATGAGATTCCACTAGATGGAAGCTCGAGTGTGGTGAGTGTCTATATAAAAAGTGAGGAAGAGAATGAGACATGAAAAGAGAGAGAAAGAAATTCACTTTATTTTTTCCTAGAGCATCAATCAAATATGAAAGTCCATTATCATCGATTCCGTTCTGATAAGATTGAAGTTTAGTCAATGTCTGTGTGACAAAAAAAAGAAGAGCAAGATAAAAACGATAGAAAAAGAAAGATGTTCACCGTATTATCTTTTAAACAATCGGCAAGACTTTGGAAGCCTTCGGTGTCCATTTTATTCGATGCTAAGTTGAGTGTTGTGAGTGTCTGAATAAAAAAAATAAAAATGAACTAAAGAAAGAATGATATTTACCGTGTTATAACGTAAAGCTTCAAATAGATATTGAAATCCTTTGTCTCCGAATTCATTCCATCCAAGATCGAGGTTGGTGATTGTCTATGTGTGACAAAAATGAGGATGAAAATGAAAAAAAGAAAAAATTTACTGTATTCTTTCGTAAACCATCAGCCAAATATTGAATTACTTCATCCGAAATATTGCAGGAGCTTAGTTCAAGTGTTGTAAGTGCCTATATGTAAAGAAATATGCAAAAAATGAAGAGAGAAAGATGTTTACCGTTTTATATTGTAAAACATCCGCAAGATATTGCATCCCTTTCACTCCAAGTGGATTGCTGCGAAGAGGAAGTTCAATGAGTGTCTATATGAAGAAATGTAGATACAAACGAGATAGATAGAAAGAGAATGATATTCACTGTATTTTTTTGTAGTACATCAGCCAAATTTATGAATCCTTCACCTGTGATTTCATTGCTGAAAATACCTAATACTTTGAGTGTCTATATGAAACAATACAGATATAAGCATGAGAGACAAAAAAACGATATGTTTACCTTATTATTTAGTAAAGCATCAATCAGATATTTGGCTCCTTTGTCTCCTATTTCATTGGCTTGAATGTGAAATTCTGTGAGTCCCTGCGAGAGAAAATGAAGATCAAAATTAGAGAGATGAGAAAAGAATGATGTATTACTGTGTTATTTTTTAACGCATCGCCAAAATGCTGAGCTCCTTCTGCTCCAATCTGATTCATTCCGAGATCGATCTTTTCGAGAGTCTATTCAGAAAAATAAAAATAAAAATTAGCGATATAAAGAAAAAACTGAAATTTACTGTATTATTTTTCAAAGCATCAGCTAAATGTCGTGCACCTTCAATACCAATTTTGTTATTAAAAAGTCCAATTGTAGTAAGTGTCTATATGAGAAGTAAATATAAAACATGAGACAAATAAAGAAAGAAAAAATCTTACTGTATTAATTTTTAAAGCATCTGCTAGATGTTTGATACCGTCATCTGAAATACCAGTATTACCAAGTTCGAGTTCGGTGACTGTCTATGAAGAAAAATGAAAATGAAAATGAAAATGAAAGAGATAAAAAAACAAGACAGAAGTTTACTGTGTTATTGCTTAAACCATCAGCCAGATATTGAATTCCTTCGCTCTCAAACGAATTGCATACAAGATCGAGTTTAGTCACCGTCTATAAGAGAAAATAAATAGGTAATATGGAACGTGTAGTGCATAAATAAGAGGCGGTCTACTGTTTAAGCAACACTCGCTATTTGTACTATGAATGGGAAGAAAGAACAATGATTAAACAGGCAACTTAGTCAATCATATGGAAATATAAGTTAATCGGAAAAACGAAGAAAAGTTAAAGATTATTTATATATTTGCAATTCTTCATTTAATAATTCCTACTAATAAATTTTGTATTTTCTTACCTTATTATTTTTTAATGTATTGCCAATAATTTTCATGTCTTCATTAGTTAATCCTCTCATTTGTAAGTTTAGCGTTGGAGAATCACCATTTTGAGCAATAATTTGTTCTATAGTAAGTTCGACAGTTGGTTCATCGTCGTTCGCTTTTTGTTCTTCTTCTTCCTCCTCTTCTTCTTCTTCTTCTTCTTCTTGCTGTTTTTCGACTTCTTCTACATTTTGATTTTCTTCTTCATTTTCTATAATACAAATATATTTACGAAAACCATGATATGTAAGATAGACATGAGACAACGAAAGAAGTCTGTTTCTGTGTTAAATACAGAGCGACTTATAATTAACTATAGGATGGAAAATCGAAATATTTCTACTATACTTACTTTTTTCAAGATCCTTGAGAATACCATCAAGTTGAATAAGTTTATTAACCTTAGCGGCACCAGATATGTAAAACCAAGTGAGAAATATAAATTTAACAAGCCAATAAATACGTAATGAATTACATAAACTACAGGCCAAATACTCAAAGCAGCCGAGTATTGCATAAACAATCCAATAGATCAACAATGATTTAGTATCATATGGTTCTGTTGATTTAACAGCTGATATTCTACAAAATAAAATATTTTAAATTCAATCTTATCAGATGTCGGGTCTAGTGAGAGTATATATCTTGAGAATGGGTGGAGATGAAATTAAATTGAATAGAGTTTTACGCCTTTCTCATATATCATTGTGATATTTCTATGATAAAAATTTCTTTCAAATGAATTTGAGTAGCCATCATACAAACAATTTGCGCATAAAAATTAACTTACGAAGTAAATACAGGCAGAATAGTTGTAGATAAGTTACAGATGAAATCATTACCCCAACCAAATACCAAGTAAATTGAAAAAATGAGAGTTAATCCTAAACAAATAAAAGAATAATATAAACGAAGAAGAATGATAATAAAATACCCAGGCAAATGAGTGCATATTTTAATCCATTGACCTTGCTAATCAAACTTAAAATTTGATTAATTCGATCATTTTTTAAGAATAAATTAGGTGCGTTCTTGTGCTTCAGAATATCGTCGAGATTTACCGTATCCATTTACTTCAATATGATTTTTCAAATCTTAAAGAATAATTTCAAACACGAGTTTTATTGAAGTATTATCCTATTATCCACAAATTTCTTTCGTTTTCTAATTAGTTAAAAGTATATTAGAGTGAAAATCTCGTCAATTATTCTCTGTAATGGATCATTCACTATTTACTCATAGGTATGTTAAATCGCCTCTTTATAATTTCACAGTAGTCGCAGTACTGACTTATCCGTTTCCTTCTCTTATATCTATCGTTACTTTTTCATGAGCATATATAACTTTATCTTAAAGTGGAATAGATAAGCATAGAAAATGAATTCTTTAAACATTTCAGATATTTATTAAGATAAAAGGTGTTAAATGTTCTTCGTTTTCTTTTATATTGATTATTGAAAATCATTTCTCTTTCTTTATTCTTTTTAATACTTTAACAAAATATGTCGCGTGTGGACAACTTAAATTTATAAAATATTTTACCATTTCTCTTTCTTCCTTCTTATTATCGTTATTTTACAAAGACGGCTTGTTTTTCTCGCTCTTATTATATTTAGTCTTGCTTCGTTAACTTCAATAGAGAGGAGCAGTAAAATAAATATGAAAAGAAAGTGTTATCGTATTCTATCCGATATAAAATCTGTTCCTTCTAAACGCGTTCATGTGTAGACATGTTTTAACGCAGCTAAAAGGGAATATCTAAAGCTGTTCGATGTGTTTTAGAAAACAAGTTAAGTAGAGTGCGTCTATACCGATCAGATGTTTCATTTTAGTTGCGTTTGGTGTTTACATGGGTGTTTAAAGCTTCAATTGTCTGTATAGATACTTATAAGCGTATTTCAAAAACTCTTAATATTTTCTTACTCTTCTATAATGTATATATAGCAACAACAAAAAATATATCAGAAGATTTTTCAAATTTTTAAATAATGATTTGAGTTATATATGTAGCATAGGGAACATGATACAAAGTGATGGTGGTTTATAGGTTAATATAAAAAAGTACAACATTACCTTTTCTTATTTTTATACATATAGAAAAGTATGAAAAACAATTTGTTTCTTGTTATTTTTCTTTTTTTGCAGTCTGCTTTGATCAGCGCAGAACACAAGAAATAAAATACTTTGTCCCCAATATAAAATTATATGTCTATATAGTTATAGATGCATACATGAATACATGTATTTCATATAAATATTGTACCGCTGCTAATAGGTGCTGACATTAAACTCTCGCGTCTCAAAAATAATTAAATATTTTATTATTCTTTGACATTCGTGTTCTTTATGTCAAGATGTCCGTGAGCAGTGGGTCAGGTTGACATGAGGATGTGGGTCTCGGTGGCACGATTGAAGCGTGAAGGAGATCGATTTCAGGGGCAGACGAGCGATTGTGAGTGGCAAAGAAATGCAACTACTCTAAAATTATGTCTTTGAGTCGAATATTTTGATATTTTCTTGTTCTATTTCAAAAACTCGAAAGTATATAATAGCATGCTTATTAATGACAACTCAGTAATACTCAGTAGAAGATATTAAGCTCTTGCTCGAAGCATAGCGTACTGTTACTCTATCGAAATACGAGAAAGTATAAAAAAGATAAATCTTGAGATATAACATAGTAGTAGTAAAAAAGTAGAATGTATATTGTCACACATCTCTAATCTTTTAATAAATTCTACTTCTTATTTTCTACAGTATAAAGCGGCCGATTGTTAGTATATGTTCAATCTGGATACGTTTTTTTCTTTCCGCAATTATATCATCTGTAGAAAATATATCGTTAAACAATATATTAGTATAAGGCTAATTCTAATGCATCTAAAAAATATTAAGAAAAAATATTATAATGTTGAAAAATAAAATGTCCTCTGCTGTTTCAAATAATCACTTTCACCCGTTTACTTACAGAAGGACGTGCGTGTCGTCAAATGAAAAATTGAAAGTGCGTGTCTATATTCTTATAACAGAGAAAAACAAAAAATTTTCTTCGTTCTGTCTCCGCACTTTGGTATTGGATAAAAAAATTTCTTATGAATAGAAATTTTCGAGTCCTCAACGGGTACTTTTTCTATGAGTAACCGATTTATAAAGTAAGGTAACCTTTTTTGTATCACGCACAACACAATTAGTGGTGTTTTTAGAGGATAAAATATATGAAAGAGTCTTACTGAGTGATGTGGTATACTTTTGTACACAATTCTTTGATAATTCACATCATCTTTCATAATAATTCATCAAGGAATTATTTACATTTTTCATAGATTAGTCACACATAATTAATTTTAAAGATTTATTTAAGCAAAAATCATATAAGCATATAAAATATTTACAAACACACGCGCACAAAAAGCTTTGAAATCTAACTAAAATTGAGCATATTGATATCAATTATCTTCCGATAATCATAATTGCGAAACAACACCTAAACTCCAGCTTTTTCTAATCTTGATAATTCTGCTTGTTGATCGACATAAATCTAGAAGTATAATACAAAATAATTTGAAATAGAAATACTTCTGATATTAACATACTTTATCAAATGCTTCTAATAATTGATCGATTCTGTCGGGAAAATTTTCAATTGGATCAAAATATTGTGAACGCATTCGACAATCTCGTTCTTCTTGAATTTCTGATTTACTCGATTTTTTCAATCCTAAATAACCATAAAAATGAATGAAGTTGTCATTCCAATCAATAACTTTACCTGTCCATCGTAAAAATTTCTTTAGCATAAATGATAACATAATTTGATCTTCTTTTTGATTCTCTTTCGCATGACAAAAACTATCATTAATTATTGAAAGAAACATACTGAAACAAACAAAAACAACTAGAAATATAAATAACGTAAAACAGAATGGACCAAGAAAAGCATCAGCTCCCACTATTTTTGATGCACCACATTTGACTAATGTCATTTTGAAAAGCATTTGAGCAGTGTTTAATAAACTTGAACATGACGAAAGTTTTGATACGAATAATAAATAAAATAAACAAAGAAATGCTATAAATACAATTGCAAACATTATTGCAAATGAAATCAGTGCTTTTGCACAATATTTTAATGTTTTAGAGAATAACGATATTTGTTGATTAAAACGAAGTAATTGAAGACATTTAATCGTACTAAAAAAACAACAATAACCAAGAAGAAATGTTAAAATATCATTAACATAAACAGCAAGTTGTAAATTGATATAAATATATCCGTTTGTTTGTTCAAATAATTGACTTATACGATTAGTTTCTTGAAAACGCCAAAAATAAACTCCAATACTTCCCAATGAACAACCAATGATACCTAATTGAATTATTGACCAAAATTGATAAAAGTATTTTAATCTTAATTCAAGTATTGATCGTATTTCAATTATCATAAAATAAATAATAAAAAATATATAAAGAATTGTACAAACTAATTGTAATATTGATGTAAATGCTAAATTTAAAAAACAAAAATTTATTTATCTTTAGAAATAAAAAATAAAGAGTAAATTACTGTATAAATTAATTGGTTCAAAACGAGATGTTGTATAAACACCACCTGTTGGTAAAAATTCAGCAAGTAAAGTAACTGCAGTTAATAATTGAACACTTGGATTATATAATGTTAGTTGAATAAAAACAGCTCTTGTTTTCTCATCAATCCAATCTAATAGATGAAGTTTAGATAAATTTGTTTTCATATCAGTTAAAGGACCACGAAATTCATAGACATAACCACCTCCTCTATATGTTCCAAATTCACCTACATACGAATATGTATTTAATTCATCACTCGTAGAATAGTTAAATGCTTTTAACACTGATGAACTGAATTCTTCGGTCGTTGCATTTGTTGTCCATCCTGGTTGAAATAATTCTATTTCTTCATTAGAAAAACTATAACCATCTTCACATATTGAAATAATACGCCGGTCGGAGCATAATTCTGATTTAACACGTAATTGTCTTATTGTTGCCCAACCAATTAATCGATTAGATTTATCATTTAAAAATCCATTTAAATATTGTGGAATATCTCCATTATACCATTGTTGTGCACGAATATTTGAAACAAAACTATTTTCTAACCAGTACCAATATTCATCGATTGTATTGATCTAAAAAAACAAAATTCATTTCAATAAATAAAAAGAAGAACAAACTTCAGTATAATCAGCAGTCGTTTGTCTTTGATTGAGAAAATAAGCTCGTAAATGATTGACTTGAAAAAAACTATGTTGTTCACAGTTTGAATAAGTTATTACAAAAACTAATATGGCAAATATAAAATAAATCATAAATTCTCGAATAATTGACCACATCTGAATTTCTTTTAAACGTTGATCACGAGCGAAAGCAATTTCATTTTCATTAAGACGATTAATACTTTTTCGAGATTGAGAAGAAAATATTGAGCGATACTATAAATGGAAAATTTAATTTTCTATAAAATTCTAAAAGATAACAAACCTCTAGTGAATGAAGATACTCCTCATCATTAGATATATTAAATTCATCATCTTCGTTTATATATTCACTTGTTTCTTTATCATCTTTTGAATTTCGACAAAAGCATATAAAGAATATAGCCAAACATATTATCTTCAATGAGAAAATATTTCAAAAATATAGATTAATAGAAAATAGAACGTATACTTTAATAGGTTGAGTAAAAATAACCGATGAGAAAAATCCAGTAAGAACAGATGTTAACCATTGTTGAGTTTTGACATCACCAAATTCAATTCCTCGAACAATGATAAAAAATATTGAAACAGCAATAATTATCATTGAAAGACCATAAGCAATAAATAAACACCACCAAGGAAATGTTATTGAAGATTGTTTTTTCTTAATTGCATGGACATTTGTCGAACTTCTAGAATTAAGAATGTGAGTGTCAATGAATGTATTTAGAAATATATACGAACCTTTTTCGAGATGATTGTATCTTATATAATGCTTCACGTATCGGTGCAATTTGTCGACGAGGTCGAATACGTCGAAAGAATTGAACAAT